AAAGATCCTCTGACAGCTAAAAAAGATGGGCTGTATCTTTTTCCTAGAAAAATGATCTTGTTTAAATGGTTTAAGACTTAAAAAATTGTACATCCTGGCTACTGCACCTGGAAAATCCCCTACTGATGCTTTTCTATCAGTGCTCATATTCTAGTCATGTGTGATAAACTTGTCAACCAGATTTATCTCTTCCAGAATAAAAACCTTTAGGATCCAAATCGTAATGCAACAAGGCTATCAATCTCTGCAGATGTACAAGATCTCTGTAAATAGGTAAGATTCCCAAGAATAATCTTGATCCAACTGGACAAAGATCTCTACAATGGATGCCATCAGATGACTAAATGAGTCCGAAGAAATAGTGGTAGGAGGAACAATATCCCTGTAAGGATGATCTGCAGCCCCTGGTCAACCCTCAAGCAGATCTTCCCTCTCTTAGAGGGGAAGTTGAGGCAGGCCTCAACAAAATTGGGACTATTAAAATATATGACTTGATATTGCATTTCAAATTGAACATCTCTCTCTCCCCTCTCCTCACTCCCTCCCTTCTTTTCAATTGCAAATATGTGCAGAATATCCACACCTTAGCCCTGAGGACAGCTTGAATCCCCACCCTAGTCCAGGAACCATCAAAACCCCTTCCCACTGACAGATTATTGGTGATCATAAACTGCTCCGGTTTTACCTCTCTGACAAGGGTATATATCAACCTTTTATCTATTTGTTTATTTATTTTGTGGTATTGTGGTTTGAACTCAGGGCCTCATGCTTGCTAGGCAGGCATGCTATCACTTGAGCCACTCCACCAGCCATAGAGTGACCTTTTAAAAATACTTTGTAAGAGAGAATTCTTTCTCTCTCTGTTTCTCGCTTGGCCAGATGGAGCCACCATTGCTTTTTGTAATGCCTTTCCCTTATCTCTACAAAACTCTTTCTACCTCCTTTACTACCAATAAATACCCCAGCAGAATCCTTACATTTTCTTGTCTCCAATCCAACTTTCCTCTCCTCATTGTTTCCCTCAGGCCAGTTATAACCATCCACCCGAGCTCATGGGAGAAGCCCCCAGTCTTGACTGCTCCTTCCCTTCTGCCCACCTACCACATGACCTTCCAATCCTGCTCCTGCCTCTCAGAATACTCCACACAGAACCACATATTCCTGTAGGTTTTCAAAACAGCAGACGTCCATGCTCTTATTTAAAGGCTTTGATGGTTTCCTACCATGTTGAGAATGAAACCCAAGTCTCTGGCCCAGTGAACCAGGTTGAGGGCTGCCTCTCTTGGGGTGGAATGTACTCCTTTCCTCAGCTTCTCTTCAGACTACTACTCTCCCTCTCTATCCACTGCTTCCTCACAGTACCCTTGAAGGGGACTTGGTTTTTGATTCTTTCTCCATTGTAGGTAAGCCATGTGAGTGGGGTGGGAGAGCTGCACCAGTCTTATTCACTCTTGTCTGATGAGCAGTGCTCATTGGGAATGGAGGAGGCTGGGTGAGGAGGCTGATGTGCCCAGGGAAACACGGGGACAGCTGGGCTGAGTGTTTGGACAGTGGAAGTGTCAGGGGGACAATACTTCAGTTTCTCACAGCGGGTGGGGTACCAGGAAAATGATGGGGAGTCAAGTTTGGTAGGGAGCATTATGAATTCAGTTCTGTACTCGGTGCCTTTGATGTGTAATAAAACATCCAAATGAGGATGACTAGAAGGTAAATTCCCACCTTAAAAGACAGGCAGGGAACACTCAGATCATTTTACAAAACAAACATGGCTTTGATCTTGAAACCATCAATGACAATGAATAAACCATTCTCACTAACGCACATCAATACTAAATTCTGAATGAAATAACACAAACAAAACAAACCACAGTTTAAAAAATCACCAGTCATAGCCAGGTAGGGAATTATCTGGCTCGAGGCCAAGAAAAAGAAGCACTCCACAGAGCCTGAGAGTTCTAGAAGGAGGATCCTCCCAGAGCTTCCTCCTCAAAATGCACAGTATGTTTAAAATGTGGAGAGACAAGGTGCTACCTCATAACTTGCAACAAACATCATCTATAAAACAAAAGCAAGAAAAGAAGGCAAGGAAAGAAACACAGAAGCAGGCAAGAGAGATGTGTTTTATAAGAACTGAAAATGAAGGTGGAGAAATTAAGAAAAAGCAACTCAGCTGCACCTTCACAAAATCCAAGGAAACCAATCAATACAAAAAACCCTTCATATGACAAGTTATTAGAAAATATGAGACAAATTCCTAAAAACAACTGCATTTGCACATACAGAATATACAGCTGGAGAGCTCACTGATGGTGAGGTACTGTCCCACGTGAAACTTTTACACAAATGGGTACTAATGTAACAAGGGAGTTAAGTCAGGTACTTAAAGAGAATTACCAAAGGTGTACAGGGAAAATTAAAGAGGTCGAGTTGCTCTGGGGACCCCTTCTCCTGAGGGAGGGAGGGAGGCACATCAAGGCAGCAAGGCAGTCGGGTGCTGGTGGACTCCTGCAGCCCTGGGCAGAGTGCCCTTGGATGTGTCATCCAGTTTTACACATGGGTGTGCACACACACCAGAAGCTATGTGGAGGCTGGATGCACCCTGCCCACAACATGGACTTAAGCACTTGTGCAACTTGTGTGATCCAGCACATGTAAATAATCTGAGCAGAACATAGGTGTATTGACAGGAATACCTGAGTCCCCCAGAAACTGGGAGAGAACACAGTCAGGACTCAGTCTCCAGCTCCCCAGAAATGAGGTCCGTCCTGGCCAATCTCATGACCTATGTCATCTCTCATGCCTTTCCCTCTTGCCAGGAATGGACTTTTTGAGCCTTTCTGATCTGCAAATCCATTCTTCCCTGAGCCTTGGTTCATACCTTGTCTGGACTCTGCTGCCTCCCGGACACCACCGCATTCCAGACTCCTCTTCTGTCTCACCGCATGTCCCTCAGTCAGGGCCACATGGCAGTGGCACTCCATGATTAGCACACCTCTTTATTCAAGTGTAGACCTATGCTCCACACCAGACTGAAATGTATCAGTTCCAGTTTGGAGAATTCATATCATCTACTCTTAAATGCTGCCTGGGCAAAGAGGCTGTCTGGATGTAAAAAAAGCTTAAGATGTACAGTAAGGGAACAACTGGTGTATTCTAACTAAGAACAGAGTCAAAATCTCCAAATTGATTCATCCAGAATAGTAGTAAATAACTGTTTTTTTTGCAACTTGCCTCACAATTTCAAGATTTACCTTTCTTCAATTAGTTTAGAATTTTGAAAGTATATGATGGAACTTGTTCCCAGGATGAATCAGTAACAATGTCCAAATATTTCTAAAACCTCAGGAAATCCATGTGAGGATGACACCAACAGGGTTAGTGCTGCTGGACCTGCTAATACCCAGAAGCTGTCATCCCGGGGTGGCGGGGTTGCTTCACAGGCCCTGTATGGGTACAAGGAAGTATAAAACGGAGGCTGTGGTCCAGGATAGTGTGGGCATAAAGCAAGACTCCATCTGAAAAATGCCCACACAAAAGGGTTGGGGGAGTGGCTCAAGTGGTAGAGCACCTGCCTAGCAAGCACAAGGCCCTCAGTTCAAACCTCAGTAACACACACACACAAAAACCAAAAGTTAACCGCCTTTCTCCCTAAAACCTGACCTGATGTGAGGCATTATTGTCTTTATTTCCTCATTAATGTGAACATTCACATTTTTCTGTAGAAGTATTAACATTTTAACTCTAGGATGCTATCGGAGTATTACATAATATATAGCAAGTATCACATAGGTCCTTACAGGTCAGGACAAAGGATTTCGAGCCTGTCTCTTCTCACAGGGTGGTAGTGAAGATGGAATGACTTCATAGAGAAAAACATGTAGGAAATATCGTGGTTGTCGGCAATGTTGCTGCTCTTGTTTACTGTGCTGTCCTTCGCTGTGAAAGGGTGATGCTAAGTGAGGGTGCACTGCTCTGTGGGGCTGGAGTAATGAAGGCGGAGGCTTAAATTAGAAGGACACTGAGAGAGTGCTGCCCAGTGCCACTGCTTCCACATCCCCACATGTGCACTCCATGGCCTCCACCTTAAGCACAAACACTGCTTTGGTTAATTTAAACTACAATGTAAGAAGTGAAAACTGCATACAAAGAATGAAGTCAGAGTCACACCTTAGTGAATCCTGCAGAATGCAGTTTGAAACCACTTACACTACTACTGTTGTTGAAAAGGCTCTGAAGAAGGTTAGGAGCAGGGATTGGTTCATGCCCTCTGTGGGGTGTTGTTTCTCAGCAAAGAGTGACGCGACACAGAACTGGTGTCAGTGAATGGCTACTGAACCAAAGCTCAGGGAACCACATGTAGACTCCCCATGTACTAAGATTCTGTGAAAGCAGCGTGAATCCTGACTCCCTTCAGCCACAGGTCTTTCCAGGTCTGGAGGGGAATAGGCTGCAAGTTCTCACAGGCTCCAGTTCTGATGCTGATGACACAAATAAATTCAAAATGACCTTTAGGTGCAGGAACACACAAGATTTCTCCGTCCTGCCACTTCCTCTCTGTGCCCTAAGGACTTCTGTCTGAAGAGAGCTGTTGAACGGTTGCCTGAAGGAAGATATTTCCCATCCCTGAATCCGGATGCGGGAGGGGGTGTTTGTACCTGGGGGACCCCACACTGCATAGTGACACCAGAAAGGCAGTTTTATAACACGTCCTACGGGACCAAGATGCAATCTTTTAAGTAAAAGCTCACAATTAAGTAGGGAGTCCTTTCTGTGTACACAATGTGGTAATGAAAAAATACGCAAAAACACTCCGAGCCTTAATGCACTACAAAATCTTGGAAAATGACCCCTAAAAAATAATTAAGAAAAGTAAGTTTTAGGGACCAGATATAAAACCAACTCTCCTGCTTTGGAAATAGGAAATTTTGCAATCACACGTAATATGGTAGATTCTAATAGTGTTGAAAAAAATGGAAGAAACTGCTCTGGAGCATGGTTACCAGAAATCTCTCTTCTTTCTCCAGCCAGCGCTGATCTTCTTCCATTTCCTGCTGCTGTCGGATCAGCCGCTCTTCCATCAGGTGGGCAGGCAACACCTGCCCAATCCCTCGCAGGTCCAAGGCCGCTGAGTCCTGGAAGGAGGATTGGCAACAGCATGTCCAGTCTCATGAGCTTCTGCTTGTACTGTGTGCCACTCAAAACAGGTAAGCCAAACAGCAAGGCTAGAGGAGTGGCTCAAGTGGTAAGAGCTCCTGCTTAGCAAGTATGGGGCCCTGAGTTCAAACCCCACTGCCACCACCTCGCCCCAAAAAAGAAACAATTAAAAACAACAAAACCCTAAACTCCCAAAAGGACTGGGGCTGCAGCTCAAGAGCTAGAGGGTTCAATCCCCAGCACCGCACACAAACAAAAAACCAAGATGTTCAAGTAATACATTACTTATAGTAGGAATATAGAAATAGTCTGTAAATAAAGTACTAGCAGATTTAAATATACCACATACATAATATAATTACAGAGTGTTAAAGTCATTAAACATGTACTCCAAGGAAAAGATCATGAGTAACAGAGTACTTCAGATGCTCTTTCATTCAAGTAATTTTTAATACTATAAAACTGGGTCTTGTTTTACCGGAAGACTTCGTAAAAGTCAAGGTGGTCAGAACCGATGGCCGTTTACACTCTGATCTCATGTGCATGCTGACTAGGGCTCTGTCTTTCAAATTAATAGATTATGACTGTAGCATTTCTCCTTGGGAATTTTTCTTCGTTTAAAAAGAAAAAAAAAAAATCACAAGGCCAGAAAACATTTGAGTAGAAAGGTGTCTTGATGTTAGAATTAAGTCACCAAAATCAAGCAATCTAGATTTACAAATAAAGGGTGCCTTAAGCCACACTTCGTACGTTAGCAAGTGGAACCCAAGAACACCCAATTTACCTCCACACTAGGCTGCCACAATGATATCTCCTGAGATCTATGATTCCATGATTCTGTCTGGTCCAGAAGAGATGCCTGGCTCGGGTAGATGCTGCCAGCCATGGATGTGATTCCATGTGAACCAGGGTAGCCAGAGACCTGCAAGTGAGTTACGAGGCAAGGTAAGGTTCTGCCACAAGGTTCTGCTTTGCAAGTGACACAAAGTAATTCAAATTACAGAGAACATTGTGGTAGGCAGAACAGTACCCTTGCCCCATGTCAAGTTCTAATTCCCTTAATATCCGAGTTTGTTTTCTGACTTGGCAGACAGGACTCTAAATCTGAGTGGGTCCAACACCATGACAAGGAGTCTTAAGTGCAGGGTTTAAGCAGAATGGTCAGAGAGATCCAACACTGATGGCTCTGAACTTGGGTTAAGGAAAGTAGGAGCTAAGGAATGGTGGTAGGAAAAGGAAATAGATTCTCAACAAAATCCTCAGGACAATCATTACATAACTTCATTATACAACTAATGCAAGTATACAGTAGAAGATAGGAAATCATTTACTGAGGAATTTTACATTTACAGAGATACTCGGAGCAGACTACCTCTGGATGCAAAAGCCACAGGAAGCTACAAAAACAGCTGTGCCATGCTCAGCTCCAGAACTCCTTTCCTGCCCATCTTACAACCATTCCCAGCAAGAGCCACAAACCCCACAAAACCCCTACTGGACATGGTAGCTCACGCACTCAAGAGCTGAGGTAGGTATGAGGCCAGTCTGGCCTATATAGCGAGACCCTGTCTTAAGCAAACAACAATCTCTGCTCAAGAAACCCCAAGTGTTGTCCTCCAGTGAGTGAGGGGCTGATGGTGGGACAGGCATGCCTTCTGCTTATGACAGCGGTAACTAATGCACAGAGGAACATTTAGCCTCAATTGAGAGGCTGAGTGAGCAGAATCAGGGCTTGTTTCCACACCACCCCATGAATTCATTGGGATTTCCAGGTCTTCTTTAAATGAGATAAAGCACAGCCAACCCACATTTTCAAACATCAACATCAAACACCTTCAGCAAAGGTTTTGCATGTGTATTGGGTCTCTGGTCATTGATTTATAATAAAATTCCATATGGGAAGTATCTAATTAATACATTTTGAATATATGTGGAGACCTCTCTGAGTTTATTTGAATGGAAAATATTAATAAAATGCTACTAAATACAAAATGCTGAACCAATACTGTATTTGTGAAAAGTGACACAATACTGTCAGAGAACTTTTGGTGAAGAGGTGTTGAAGAATCTATCGCAGCTTTCTAAAATGCAAGCATGTGGTAGGATCAGTGGGCAGCTTAGGCTAAAAAGGACCTTGGAGTTAACATCAGGAAATTTCCTATAGCTGGTCTCATGTACAAGCTAGGAAATTGGGGCTTGGAGAGATGAATCATATATTTTGTCAATGAAAAAACTTTAACTATTCTCTATTTCCACACTGATTTAAGTACTCAACAAAGTAGAAAGCCGTCTTCACTGTCGGGGGATTCCAATGTTGTGGGGTTAGCCAGCTACTAACATGTAAGTGCTCAAGCCCCAAGTTGTAAGAGGGCTGGGTTGCACCCCTGCCTTGGCCAGGCCTCCTGTGAGCCTGCTAAGCCACATAGAACAGCTGACAGCTGTCTCAGGAGGTGGGCCAGCTGACTTCATGTGCATCCAGTCACCAACCCTGAGGCTCTCTCCTGGGTGGCTCGTTACCTACGAGAGCCTAGGGTTTCTTGTGTCAGCCACACATCTGTCATTACATTGACCACTGATTGTCTGGGACAAGGCCCATGTGCTGTCCATGAGGAGTGGTCTTGTGCCCAGTGCCTGGACAGTGGATGAATAAACAGTCTACGTGAGCTCAAGGGATCTACCCTTCTTCCTGACGCAGGTGGTCATCCCAGAGCAGTGTCTCCAAAAAAACAGGATCCAAGTCATTCACTGAGAACCACAGGGACTGTGTGTTAGCAATGTAAAGTTCCTGAGCTCCACTTCAGAAACAGTATACAGGAATCCGGAGTTGGTAGATACAGAACCATTTCCACTGTCCTAAATGACCACAAACTTGCAATCTTTTCTTTTCTAGAAAGATATACTGCCTACCTTCCTCTCCTGTTACCCTGGTACCAACAACTAAGAATTTCTGTTCATACCTAAAAGGTCTTAAATTAACTTTGTTCTCAGTAACCCTTAGAACAGGAAGGAAAGGACTGAGCCCTCAAGAGCACTCGACTTTCATGTGCCTTATAATGAATCAAAAAAGCGAACCCCAAGGCACACCACCATATTCCATTGTATTAGACTTGGCAATAGGCAAAAGTTAACATCCACCCCCCTCCCCCGCCGTAGGTAAAAGAATCAGAAGGGGTGTTCCCTCTGGGACTGGGGTGACTAGCTGGGAAGGGCAAGAGTTTCCTGGGCTGATGTGGGATGGGGACAATGGTGCTTGCATTTGTCAAAACTAAGACCAGTGCATTTCACTGCAAGTGAATTATACTTCAAAAGAAACATTCTAATACCTTAGCCTAAATAGCAAAGTTATAATCTCTGCTTCAGGTTCTTTCTTCAAGGTCAGCTCGCTCTAATTGGAGAGGATGGTTGCCAGTCATCCAGCATCCCTTCCACATTCATCTACACATCTCAGCTGGCTTCTGTTCCAGTCCTTTTGCCTTCTAGAGAAACTGCAATTGGGTATTACCTCTGCAGTGTGGGGTCACTGGCTCCACCTGGCCTCTTTCAAGAACAGGATGGAAAGAATGAGCCTCAGAACTGTGGGCTGCACTGTTCTGCCTACTTTGAGACGGTGTGACCAGTGACTATTCTCTCCACAGGGTGGAGATACAGCCATGAAGCTTCTGTAACTTTCTTCTTGCCACCATAAATAAACAAATAAGGAAACAGAAATAAGCACAATGTCTTATTTGATAGGTCAGATAAAACATCTATATCTGTAAGGACCTGTACACCTACCTGGTAATGATTGGTCTGGACCATGTGCTGTGGGCTGGGATAAAATCCTTCGCTGGACCTCGGACTAGGATAACCAGGCCTGCTGGGCTGTGAACAAATCAGGAGAGCATCATTTGAATGAATTTTTAGACTTTGGTAAATCTACAACTTACAAGCTGTTTCTCTAATACAGCTTTGATAAAAGGATGCTGAGACATTTCTCTGGGGAAGGAACAGTCTTTTCAACAGGTTGAGTAACTGGGTCTCCACATATGAAACAGTCTGGCTCCTCCTCAGAACACACACATAATTAACTTAAAAACAAATCCATAACTATGACTAATAAAGGCAACATAAGGGTAAATCTTTGAAACGACCATGGGTAAGGCAACAGTTTCTTAGCTATGACACCAAAAATAGAAGGAACAGGAAAAAAAAAAAAAGATAAACTGAATATTATCAAAACTAAAACTTTTTGTGTTCCACGTGATACCACCAAAAGAGTGAAGAGAACGGCTAAAGGATGTAGGAAAATGCTTGCAAATCAATTACCTGATATGAGGTACATATTCAACACACACACAGTTTTTTACAGGCCAGAAATCAAATGACAAATCATACAATTAAACAGCATACATAGCTGGGCTACATTTTGTGTTCAAGGTCAGTATGGGGCTACACAGAAAGACCATGTCTTAAAAGAAAAAAAGCTCCCAAATAGGCAAAATGAAACTTCACTGTCAGTAAATATGAAAAACCCACAGAAAAAGAAGGTGGTTACTTCAAGCATCAGGGTAGTGGGAAGGGCTGGGATGGAGCCAGACCCTTGCCTTGGGGGGCTGTGGGATGACAGCACGTTCCTTCTAGTCATGCTGCTGTTCCAAATGATATGCTCCATTTGCCATTTCAAAGTAAAAGTAACAGGAAAAAAGGAGAAAATATTGCTGGACTTGGTGGCCCACATCTGTAATTTCAGTTATGTGGAAGGCAGAGACAGGATGACTGCAAGTTAACAAGATCCTATGTCAAAGAACAAGTGAGGCATGGCAGTGGGATCATCCCTGTAATCCCAGCGACTCAGGAGTATAGATGGATTGTGAACTGAGGCTACTCTGGGCAAAAAGTGAGATCCTATCTTGAAAATAGTTAAGAGAAAAAGGCCTGGAGGTAGGTTCAACTGGTAGAGCTCCTGCCAATCAAGCATGAGGCCCCAAGTTCAAATGTCGGTACAGTACTGCAAAAAAAAAAAAAAAAAAAAAAAAAAAAGTGAAAATTATGTTATAGGACAGACAAAGTAACTGCACACAAAGGCAGTCCCACGCCCAGTGTTATGGAGAGCAGATGCCAAGGCAGGATCGGGCCACATGCCCCACGCTTCCTGACTGCCAATGAGAAAACGGGACATGAGGGGGCCACCTGCTACATATGTTACTGCCACTGAGCACCGTGGTCAGCAGGTCTCTGTGTCTCCTCCTCCAACACAAACTTGGGTTTCCACACGGCAAACATGGAACCAGGTGAACTTGTGCCAAATCCTCCCAAGTGAGGAGGGAAAGAAAGAAAACGAGACAGTTAAAGCCTGAGGTTCTCAGCTAGGTGGCGCTGCTCCCTTGAGAGATGCTGCTGCAGGTGGTGGAACTGGTTGGCAGGAGGGTGGAGGCCAGGTTGGGGAGACTCTGGGTGATGAGAAGACACTGCTACACCCCACAGCGCTTCCTTCCTCACCTCTCTCAACTTTAGGTAGGTAAAACCTAGGCTCATCATCTGAGCCTAGGACCAACCGGCCGTTTGGCATATTAACACACAAATGACATTTTGTGTATCACAGCTTATCAGTCAACTGTAAAGAACAGCAACTGCTGAGCTGCTGTGAAGAACACCAGGCCTCACAGAGCTAGGCAACTGGAAATGGAGCATCATCAGCAAGGGCTGGGTATGGAACCCAGGCCTCACACATGCTCTGCTACTGAGTTCCATCCTCAGCCTGGGAGGAGGTTTTGTTTTTGTTGCTTTTGGTGGTATAGGGGTTTGATCTCAGAGCATCGCACTTGCAATGCAGGTCCTCTACCATTTGAGTGATGCTTCAAGCCCTTTTTTCTCTGGTTATTTTGTAGATAGGATCTCCCTTTTTGCCCAGGCTCGCTTGGACTGAGATCCTTCTATTTTAGGCTTCCCACCATAGCTGGAATGGCAGGTGTGTACCATCATACCCAGCTTTTTTCTATTGAGATAGGGTCTTGAAAGAAAACTTTTTTGTCTTGATTGGCTTTGAATGGCGTGGTATGATAGGCCTGTGCCATTGCACCCAGCTTCTGATTAAAGTGGGATCTCACCAAACTTCTTGCCTGGGCTAGCCTCAAACTGTGGTGTTCCCACTCTTAGACCCCTAAGTAACTAGGATTACAGGTGTAAGCCACTAGAGTCTGGTGAAAAGTACTTTTTACATTTTTTTTTGACACAACTGAGAATAATGTTTTTTGATACTACACCCAAACTGTAATTTTTTTTGTTAAGACTGGAATTTGAACTCAGGGCTTCATGTTTACAAACATGAAACAGGCACTCTACCTCTTGAACCACATCCCCAGTCCATTCTGCTCTGGTCATTTTAGAGATAGGATCTTGTGAGCTATTTGCCAGGGCTGGCCTTGAACCTTCTTCCTCCTGATCTCAGCCTCCCCAATAGCTAGGATTACAGGTGTGAGCCATGGGTGCCCAGCCAAATGGTAGTTTCTTAAGGTGAGTTGGAATGTGGAATCTGGGCTCTATAATTATCTGCTATACTAAAATCCACTGTTCTTATCTTGTGGTGTGGTATACATTATGAGTTTATTTATGTTTAGATAGGGTTTATGTAGTCCATGTAGGCCTCAAATTTGTGACCCTCCTGCCTCAGTCTCCAGAGTGCTGGGGCTATAGATGTGTACCACCATGGCTTCTTTTTTTTTTTTGGCGGTACTGGGACTTGAACTCAGGGTGTATACCTTGAGCTATTCCACCAGTGCTGTCCCATTTTTGTGATTGATTTTTTCGAGATAGGGTTCTGGGAACCGTCTGCCCAGGCTGGCTTCAAACCGTGATCTTCCTGATCTCTGCCTTGTAAGTAGCTAGGATTACAGGTGTGAGGCGCCCTACAGAGCCTGGCTTCTTTATTCCACTTTTTCTTTTCTTTTTTTTTTTTTTTTGTGGTAACTGGGGTTTGAACACCTTGAGTCACTGTGTCACATTATTATTATTATTTTTTTTTGGTGATGGGTTTTTTTGAGATAAAACAATTTGCCCAGGCTGGCTTTAAACCGTGATCCTCCTGATGCCACCTGAGTAGGCAGGATTACAGGCAGGAGCCACCAGCGCCTGGCTCTTTCTTCCACTATGTCACATCCTGTTGGTCATCTAGAGAGCGCTGGCTCACTGAGTCATGTAGACCTTCCCAATGTGGTATGGGCACACACGAGTAAACAGTATGTACTTTTAAGAAATCCATTTATTGATGTTACCGTTAGTTTAGCAGAACAGCTGAAGAACTGGGAAGCTGTCAAGGTCATGGTGATAAGCTTATCAAAATCCTAACTGTTGCTTGAAAACTCAAACTTCATCATTGGCAACAAATACTATCAGTTGCTTTCATTGAAGTAACAGCTTCACTTCTTTCTTTTTTTGAGAAAAAGTTCACCAAACTTGAACAGCATGCCTACCAGCTGTTTTTTCAAGGAAGGCTGGTCCTTCATGAAAAGTGTCTAGTTCAGCTCACACCTCAGTTACATGGCACGTTCTCATGACAGACATGGGGTCTCCGCATGCCCTTCCCACGTCTCATGCTCAAACATCTTATGGTCATTCTTACATGAATTGGCATTTTTCTTATTGCATGAGCATGGGATAAAGAATGTGGTAACGACTAGTGTAGTCTGGTGATATTGCTAGATTTGTGACAGTAATTCTCAGTGTAAACACTGACACTGTGGAAAGGGACCATAACCTTTTACCATGAGTAGGAGCCGAATTCTGATTTCCTAGGCTGGTGAAATGGTCTAGGGGACCCAGAATCAAAAGAATCCTGAGTGGTCATCCTAAGACATTTTCCCCCAGGGCTCTGCATTGGCCAGATGGTAATTTGCAGGATAGTAACAATAGCATCAATGAGACTTTCTAGTCAAATGGCCCCAAAGATTATTACTGCACAAAAAGATGATACTGTGATGAATTCTTCTTGTTGTTGTGGTGGTGGTGGTGGTGGGGATCAAACCCAGGACCTGAAGCATGGTAAGCACATGCTTTTACCCCTGAGCCACACTGTCAGCATGGTACTGGGGTTTGAACTCAGGGCCTACACCAGCCCTTTTTTATGATGGGTTTTTTGAGATAGGATCTTGCAAAACATTTGCTCAGACTGGCTTTGAACCACAGTCCTCCTGATCTCTGTCTCCTGAGAGAGACAGAGTCTTCCTATGTAGCCAGGCTGGCCTTGAAGTCATCATCTTCCTGCCTCAGCCTCCCAAGTGCTGGGGCACAGGAATGGGACACTGTGCCTGACTTTGGTGGAAACTATTTTCAATAATTAGTTTTATGGTTATAATCCTTTACCATAAAATACAACTAAACGTTTAAATTTGAGTCTTGAATGGCAGAGATAAAAGTTTTTTCATTTGAAAAAACAAATGAAACTACACTAAACATCTTTTTCTTTTCTTTCTCTCTCTCTCTCTTTAAATTTAAGAGGTACTAGGCATTGAACCCAGGGCCTCGTGCCGGCTAGGCAAGTGCTCTACCACTTGAGTCACTTACCCAGCCAGCAGCACCCCCGCCACCACCCTTTTCAGACAGGGTCTTGCTAACTTTGCCTGGGATCCTCCTGCCTCTACTTTGAGTAGCTGGGATTATAGGCATTTCTATGTACGTGTGTATCTATCTATCAATCATAGGTGTCTTTCCTTTCTCTCTCATCTCTCTTCTCTCTCTCTGTTCTCATTTGAAGAGCAAGTATAGGACTTGGGAAGGACCTATGTGTATCTCTCTCTCCCTCTCGCATGCTAAACAAGTGCTCTACCAGTGAAGTACACCCCCATCATTTATTAGTACATAAAATTTATGTTCAAAATTTATCTACAAAAGCTTACTTTATCTATAAAAGATTCTGTTTGAATTTAAGAAATCAAAGTGAAATTTATTAATCCCAGGATATAAACACGGAATTATGAACATTCACAAGAATCTACAGAATTCCCACTTCATGGACTAAATTGCCTGAAGAAATTCTGGCTTACCACAGTGGAAAGAATGGGCCCATTTACACCAGGCAACTGTTGTGGCCTCAAATGCAGAATCTGGTCCTACAGGTGACAATGGAAGGTAAAACCGCACTCAGGCCTTGACTGACTGGCACAGGTGAACAACAGGCTACTTGTTTATAACCATCAACATCTGAGTATCTATTTTACTTTTTTTCTTTCTTTCAGTGCTTTGGATGGAACCCAGGACCCTGCACATGCTAGGTAAGCACTGTATCACTGAGTCATATCCCCAGTTCTTGGTTTTTAGAGACAGGGTCTTGCCGTGTAGCACAGGCTAACCTTGAGTCAAGATTTTCCTGCCTCAGCCTCCTGAGGGCTGGGGTTACAGGTCTAAGTGTTGCCAAATGTTTTCTCTAAGGGTCAAATAGGAAGCATTTCAAGCTTAGTGGGCCACAGTGTCCCTGCAGGAACTATTTAGTGCTGCCCTTGTAGGGTGGAACCACCCTTCAACAATGTTCATGTGAACACTTGAAGCTGTGTCCCAGTGAGACTTCAGCTAATGGGACCAGGCAGCTGGCTACATTTTCTTGCCTCTGCCGGTTTGACGCAGGGGCAGCACACTCCTGTGAAGTAAGTGAAGTGCTGTATGATGAAGTACTGCCCAACAGCTCCAGGACGTAGGAACACTAAGGTCGTCATATTATTGCAAATGAGGAAAGTGAAGTCTACAAGAGGGACGTGAGGTGCCTATAGTCATCAGACTGTGAACAGCAGAACCTGAGATGAACAGACCTGCTTCATTCAAGGCCTGAGAAATTAGCAGTGAGGTTCTGCTGCCCGCCACTCTGAGACAAGTCTGCAGCTCTCATGACATTAACACATAGGCAAAGAGGTAAACACAACAGAGAGGGCCCAAGGTGCCAGAACGAGGAGCTCATGCTTCTGTGGGTGACTAAGGTTTTTGTTGTTCTTCTTTAACTAGGAATGACAGAGGAATGTTCTAGTTTTTCACTGCCTGGCTCAAAGCAACACACCTGTAGATGGTGTGGTCTTCCTCCTCTGTAGCAGGGCTTGGCTAAGGCACCTTTTCTTCTGCAGAACTGTGCTCATTACCTACATTCACTTCCAGTGCGTGACAGGGTTACTGCTACATGGCTTAACACGGTGATCAAGAAGAAAAGTTTTCAAGCATCATGATAAATAAATTGGTCCATACTCAATAGTTCTTTGTGTTAAGAGTTTGATGAATATTTTTTAAAAAGAAAATGAATGCTTTTCAAACTTATAGTTTTAGCTAATTAAATATCATTTAGCTGCTTTCCAGAAAAGTGTGTATTGGATTATTCATGCAAGTAAGCCAGTGTGTAAAACTACTACCCTGTCAAAAGCAAAAGGTTTTTAAAGACTTCTTACTCTAAAGAAAGTGTTCAAGGACCATGTTGGTTCAAAACCCCCAGCCACTGCCCAGCGTAGGCCAGCCCAGATGGTGTGAAAGGCTGCAGCCACCCAGGAAAGAACACAGAAGGGCCTGGAACTAAGTAGGAAGGGCAAGGGGTCAGACTGCTGTGCCAGAAGTGTTCTCTCCCTGACAACGATCCAGCAAACAGCCACAGACCAAAAAAAGGCAGAAAATACACAGACAGTTCCAACAGAACAAAAACAAAGGGAATATGGCCAGATGGAACTGGACTCTTTAAAGCCTCTGTCTTGGTGAAGGGAAAGCAAAGAGGACAAGGAAGAACACTTTAAGATAAAGTCTAGTGAAATGCAAATAGGAAAATGATTGCACAGGAGGAGCAAGCAAGAATTGGTGTTGTTAACTATAGTCTTAGATTAACCTGAAACTCGATTTCCTCCTCATAGGAAGTGCTGTCTACATCACAGAGCTCAGGAGCTGGTTTAAGAGGAACCCACCCTGAAGTTGGGTTGGGGACATTGGCTACCTTGGGTGGTGCTTCATCAGACCCTCCAGAGTCCCACGACACAGTGGCCTGTCTTCTGGACTCCATCCTCATCCGCTCTTCTTGCTGCACCTTCTCCTCCTCCAGGATTGTGCTAGAGAGACAACATATCATGTGAAAGGAAGCCAACAGCCAGAGTCTCACATTAGACCCCACCCCAACTCATCCAAAGGACACCAGCTGGCTCCTAGTAGAAGATAACCATAGAGAAAGGAGCCGCGACACAGGGAGAGGGAAGGATCAGGTTTCTGATTTTTCACAAAATGATTTAAAATAGTTGTGGTCTCAATGGGCACGTCCATTTAAAGCAGTAGCACAGGTAAGAAACAGACAGTGGTTAAGAGAAAGTTGGTGAAAAGGAAGGACAGGTTGGGCAGAGCAGGATGACCCTGAAGCCCCAAGCAGATCTCTACCAAGCATGCACGTCAGCAGCAGAGCTTCGCAGGAGCACAGGCTCCTGTGTGACCTGCCTCACCACACATTATGTGGCTGAGTAGCAGGGCCAATGATCTCCCCAACTTGCTGAGTATAGCGCTGGCACCAACTTTCAGCTAAGTCTGCATCTTATCTGATGAAGAAACAAGAATGCAACAGCATTCACAGGCACTTCTGAAAACACTGTCTGCTCTAAGCTGGAAATGCCGCACTTACCACCGCTGGGCTGCTCAGCGGCTAAGTGAAGTCCTGAATGTCGCTATGGCTGCCATGGCTCCACAGCTACCCTGGGCGGCTTCTCAGTCCTGGCTGTTTGCCATCCTGTAAACGCCTCAGAACGCAGGCAAGCGAGACTCAGCTAGTTCCCCATTCCACACGGACTTCCCGGGGCTCAGCGGGCAGAAGGTCTTTGAAACCTTCCTCCTAGCTATGGCAGTAACTGGCTCTTTCCTACATGCTTGCAACTTACATTCCCGATAATGAGGCTCATTCAAAGTTTGTAGCCCCTGGCAGACAGATGCAGTAAATAACCACCCAGAATTACTCAGGAAACAGTGACATCACTGACTCCTAATCTGGGAATCTGTTTGACTGTTTAAAAAGACATTCCTGCTGGCTGGAGGCTGGAGCCTGCTCCTTGTACAGTCACTTTTGAATCAGGAAGACAGACAAAATTCATTTCATAACTTCCCAGTCAGCAAGCCATCACTTGCAAATGGTAAGGATGTTTTCCAGGGAAAGGAAAGTGATGGTTTGCCTCAAAAAAAAAAAAAAATTCCATTACTGCTTTAAAGAAAAGCTTTCAGTTTTGAGAGCCCATCCCCTCCACAAAGAAGACTTTGTTTCCTTCTTGCTCCAGTTAAATAATTATGGCAGAGGAAATAAACACCAAGATGAATTAATAACTTTTAAGAATTTATCAGGGCTTGTGGAGTGGCTCAAGTGGTAGAGCACCTGCCTAGTAAGTGTAGGGCCCTGAGTTCAAGCCCTACTACTTCAAAAACAGAATTTCTTGTGTGTGTGTATGGGGGGGGGACAGGGCCCAGCAGCTAATGCCTGTAATCCTAGCTACTCAGCCTGTAATCCTAGCCATTGAGAAGAGGAGACCACCTTTCTGAGCCAGCCTGGGCAGAAAGTTCATAAAATCCCATCTCAACAGAGAATGCTGGGTACATCATCCCAGTTACAGTGGGATGCTTATAACAGGAGGATCATAGCCCAGGCAAAAAGTGAAACCGTATCTCAAAAATAACCAGAGCAAAAAGAGCTAGAGGTCTGTGGTTCAAGTGGTAGAGCACCTGCCAGCAAGGGTAAAGCCCTGAGTGCAAACCTCAGTACTGTCAAAAAAATAAATAAACAAAACAAACCTAAAAAAAGTTCTTGGATGGTAGAGTACTTGCCTCACATGAGTGAGGCTGAGTTCGAACCTCAGCACTTCAAACAAAACAAAACACCACAAAAAACGAACAGCCAAGAATTTCTTGGCAGACTCATAGAGGAAAGAATGTGCTCAACAACAGCACTGCTGGGCACCTGGCCCATGTGTAAGGTTCAGGTGAGCTTGGTGAGGTGAACTCGTGCAGGTGGAGGCCACGGATGTGCCTGGGGAGGTATGGGGGGGCAGCAGACACCTACAGGCTCTACAGTCAGCCAGGAGAATATTCGAGACGCACATGCTGTGGCCGTGGTCATGTGATCTTTAGACACAGCCACTCGGTATTCATTTGCCAACTATCTGCTTGGTGCAGGATGCCTGGTCTTCAAGGCCCTCTGATTAAGGGCAAACAAAGACTTGAAAACCTGAAACCTGATTTAGTGTCAACAAGAGAGGGGAAGAGAAGGGCTCTGCTGAGGCATCTGTAGCTCCATGGGGAGCAGCACCAGCCACTAGGGAGGGAACTAGGGAAGAAGGCCTCCACCAGGCTGCAATAACAAACCCATTCCAACACACAAGCAGTACATGCCAGAAGTAGAACAATGCTCCCTGTCCACTTTTTGCATGAAAATAAATGCCTTTAAATTGTCTTTATTAAATTTATAACTCTACAGACATAGGATAAAATAGTGCCTGGCACACAGGTGACACTTAACTATTGGCTGAATGAGCAATCATTACAGCATGTGGGTAAGATACGCACGTTACTATGACCCACTGAATAGGTGGCTTAGCTGAGAAGAGTCATAGTTCATCAGTGATGAACAAAGTAAGTGGGGAAAAACAGTGAGGCACAGTGAAGAAGCTTATGGGCTGAGTCAGGCTGAGGTCAGGTTCAAGTTCTGCCAGACAGGCTATGCGACCACAGACAAGTTTATCCCTCCACGCTTCGCCTACAAAATGGGCTGCTTCCCTACCACCTACCTTGAAGAGTTGTTGTAAAGAATACATGAAACAGACAATCTATAAAGAGATCTAAAACCCAATAAGCTTTTAAAAATGTAAAGAGAGACAAATTCCCCGATCAAATAATGTCGTGCCCCGTTGCTCCACCTAACAGCTACCATTCTTACAAGGGTCTGCAATGCAAGTATTTCAAATGAGCTAAAACCAATTAGAGTTTGAGGTACAAAAGAGTAGGTCACATCTTTTGGCAAATTCATCCAATTGCCTACTGAAGGTTGCAAAACAACTATTACACATTGTGCTACAACACAGTCACTGATACACAATGCCTTTGAACCTATTACCACTCTCACCAACAGGGAGACTTTGGCATGAGCTGATACAGTGTATGTCATCAGGTCCTGCTCATTCACCAGTGGTGGGAGCTTATAAAGACCCCTCTTAGGTTTCTAGATCACAGAACCCCCAGGGCTGCTGAGGAAGGGCAAGAAAAGGTATACTCTAGAGTGGCCCACATCTAAAGTAAGCATTCTTTCCTCCTTTCCCCTATTCCTCTGTGCCCAAGGAAGCTCCTGGTTCCTGCCATGCTTACACCTGGCCTGGAAAACCTTTCTTTTCTTTACCTGGCCCACTCTGCAAGTATTTCATGTACCCGACTGCACTTTCTCCACAGTCTTCCCTGATGCTCCCAGCTCTCTTGAGGCTGAGTTATCTTGCTCTCTCCTCTGTTCTCAAAGAACTAGTGCTTAACTCGATTTAAATCCCGTTGAAATTCATCCGAAATGTCTGTTTGCAGCTGGGCACTGGTGGCTCACGTCTGTAATCCTAGCTACTCAAGAGTTGGAGATCAGGAGGATCACAGTTTGAAGCCAGCCCAGGTAAATAGTTTGTGAGGCCCTATCTTGAAAAATACTTCACAAAAATAGGACTGGTGGAGTGGCTCAAGGTGAAGGCCCTGAGTTCAAGCCCCAGTACCGCAAAAGAAAAAAGCAATGTCTGTTTGCTTGACTTCTGTCACATAAATGCCCATTTTCCCATGTCCAGAATTGGCACAGGCCATGAAGGATACCATGAAGGAATAAATGCCAGGTGATGAGCTGAGTGAAGGCCATGAGTAGAGAGGGCTGGCAGTCTAGTGAAGAAGAGCACACTGACAAGCAGCCAGGGTTCACACCTGGCCCATTTCTTCAATGTAGCCACTGGGGGGACCAGAGTCAAGTGTGAGATCACAGCAAGGAGCCCTTACTGGCCTCAGAGAGGAACACATCCTGGCTATGATTTCTCAGATTCCTGCTGTCAATAACCTGATACTGAAAATGACTAATGGACCCTAAGTCCACACTTTATGACTGCTTAAATGAAAAGTTCATAAAACTAAGGGGAAATCAACAAAATTAATTTTAACAATCCTTTTTTCTACTTCTTGAAATAACTAAAACACAGGTGAGATATGAGGAGGCTAAGTGGGACATTTCTTTCAGGTAGCGGGAACTCTGTGTTAGGCCATTTTATTTCACATGGGTTTTTGTGAAATGAGACATGCTGATCTTAAGGCTAATGTCTCCCTTCAACCTAAAAATAGGTCCTCTGAGGTTTCCTCATTATAAGCCAGACCCTCTCAGTCTCCACTTGCCTGGACTCCTCCCAGTTACCCCAACCTTCTGAATGTATCGTGAATCTTCCTTTTGGCCTTGAGTTACACATAGGAATGCTGGGGGACTTAGGGGTAAGCTTCTGATGGCTGGCAATTTCCCACACTGGAGCACCCACGTTTCTCTGACTGAGTAAGCCAGTCTGTGCCTCACAGAAAACAAGGACAATTAGGAAGCAAGCTCTTTCAATGCAAGACCTTCACTGGATACCAGATAGAGTGTGTCAAAATGCTTATGAGAAATCACAGTTTGTAGCTCAGGAATACAAATAACTCATAAAATATGTTTTTACAATGGGTGCTAGTCCATAGATGGAGGAGGAGGAGGTACAGGAGAGCCAGCTGCGCTGTTCTGCTGAAGCTGCTGAAGAACCCAGGGCAGCAAACGAGAATGTGCACAAGGTCATGGAGGTCAGGCTGAAGCATATTTTCCCAAACTTCCAATATTTTTAGTAGCAATACATTCCATCTGAAAGCTCTTAGCTGCCTGATGTGAACTGGCAATGAGCCCTCATGCTTTTTCTTTGGATGGTAGTTTCCAAGTTTTAAACTTGCAAGAGGATGAAATGAAAAAGTTGAGACCTGTCATTTCGCAAACATGATCACACGTGACAATTAAGTAAGTCTGTTTACTCACAGGTCCCAGCTTGGGAGAGAATCATGAAGA